TAGGACCATACGCCGGTCTCGCTGATAAAAAAATAAACCCTGTGTCATTATTAAATATTTAGCGTGCTCAAGGTCATAAAGGACCACGTTCTTTTTTATAGGTAAAGGAACGAACATTTGTTGGCAGAATGTAAACTCTGATATCACAGGCCTCTAAAATAGCAGATAAAATTAAGATATATGCAATGAATTATAACAGACTTCTATGCAGCAAACACAAAACGTTATTATAACGTTGCCAAAAAAAAAAAACAAAAAAAAAACGTTATGATAACTTTATAAAACGTTTTGTGGTTGCTGGGTAACGGACCCTGTCCACGGGAGATCGTCACATTTGTGCTCATGATTGAAACAAAGCCACTATTTTCTATCATTAAGTAAATTTCTTTTATTTCAATACTACAATTTCACTATTGACCGGGTTTGCTTTGGATCTGTCATCATTAGCATGGTGTGTATTAAGAGTCATGTGACAGCTACGTGTACAGTATCTTTCTGTTGTGTTTCTTCATTCACCTGTGAAATATTTTTATGGAAACTTGCTTCAGAAGAGAGTGGATGGGGTTTGAAAATATTGAAACCTAAACTATAAAGTTCTTTGACAAAAAGTGTCCTTTTGAAATCCAGTGCCCCTAGTTCCTTAACTTAAAACCTATTTAACTCAAAGTACCATGCTAATGGCATGGATTAAGTATTTCCCGGAATCCGTTTGATAGCCTCGGATCAGTCATCATTATATATCAAAAATATATCTGCTCAATGTTATTATCAAAATCTGTCTTTTAGTGAAATTGCCATGTGCAGATGAGCGAAGTTGCCTGAATCTTCTCTCCTGAAAGCTACGAAAGCTCTCAAATAAGATTTACATTTTCTTTTCATGAAAAAAATGGTGACTACCTTTTGAACAGGACGCACAATATCCATAGCTATTTACAGTAGTTGACAGTCGAGGCGTCCTTGACTGTCTTTGCAGCGACACCTACAGTTTAGAACAGTCAAGGTGGTCTCAACTGCATTATCAGCGACATCTACAGTTCAGAACAGTCAGTTGCACCTCCAGGGAGATCCATACTTAACAGTGTCAATACACCTGAAGTAGATGATCTATTTCCCAAAACAGGAAACTATCCAGACCTGACAGGCAATCCTCTGGCGTTTTTTAAACTGAAGATTAGCGCGTTTTCGCTGAACTGCCGATATCTGATCCGCAAGTTTTGATCCGAGTTTGTCCAGCTCGTCAATTTCCTTTTCCAACTCTCGTATTTTGCTGGCGACCAAGGCTCGTTCTTTAAAGTTGTTTAGGTAAGCTTGACGACCACTGGTAAAATAATCAGGAACCTAAAATGAAACGAAAATTTTTGGTATGAATACGAATTATAGACCCAACACCCTAACAAAACCATTTAATGTTACTAGTATTTAGTCGTCATGCATGCAGCACTTATGATTATTGAACGACCGAGACAAAAACCGTAGACCGTTTCCACAGGTCATATTCGCGCCATATACTGGCCCTGATACGTCTGCTAACTTATCATGTAGGCCTACCCGCACTTATCACCTGTAGTTATGAAATTTTCATTCCTAGGACTGATGTTCCTGTCCCGGGGACTGAATTCACCATTTTGATTTAAAGAAAAAGTGGTCGTTTCTCACATATTTAACAAAATATTATGTTTTCAAGAGCTTTTGGATATACTGTACATGTGCCTATACGAAAAGGCAAGTAGGCCTACTATGTTTCGAATGGCATGCGGATTTTGAGGATCAAATAGCCTTTACTCGTAGGCTAACTATGGTCGCGCAAAATGATTATGTAGGCCTACAAGTACAGTATAGATACAATTTTTATGCACAGATTCACTTCAAATTACACTAGTAGACATTAAAAATAGGATCATAATGAAGCAAAAGCGTCCTGATGTGGACTTAATAAATATCACTCGGTTGTTGATGAAACCGCAAAAACCGCCATTACATTACAAGTCACGTCAATTGGGACTCCTCATTAGTGAATCTCTGTGTCCTCAAAGATGGAGCGGCCTGTAAACATCGCTAACGAGCCAAATGACGTGCACACGTTCGGCATAGACACGCAATCACGCGATTCGAGGATTTGCTATCCTTCGTTTTTTTTACGCTAGTCTTCGAGTACTTTGTTACTTTCTCTGAAACACATGACGGACTAACAGCGGCTGTTTCCAGAACCCTCGGATCATTTACCATGATAAACTGAAACGTACCACAGCAAAAGAAGTGAATGATGAGAAGAATAAAATAATGATGTATAAAATGAGACCCAAGAAAGAGATAAAGACGAACGGTAATATATCTTTGTGAGCTATCATAGCGGCAAAGCACTTGCGTAGTTATCGAGAAATATGGGCCCATTGAATCTGATACAGAAACCCGTTTTATAAACGAACAAAATGTGAGTGCTTGCCATTCCCCCGAGAAAGCTATTATCTGAAAAATAACAAGTATGTTTGTCTATTCACCCACGTTGGTAGATCGCAATTCGCCTTTTAATGATCAAAGGGATTTTATTGGCATCGTTATGATATTTTTGTGGGTGATAATATAGCTTAAAACTGTATTAATACTTGCGCTTCGAATAAATGTGATTGCTAGTCATAGAATGGCACTTTGCGAAGCAGTAGTATGCCGCAAAATGTCTTCACCATTTACTGTTATTAACTTAGTAAATCATGGCATAGCCAATTAATACAAAACGACCCAAAATAAATGAAGCGTACGATAAGACTGGCAAAATGGGCAATGAAAGAAAAGTATAGTACTACATGTATTTTGAAATCACCTACGAAGCAATCTGTGAAGACTGTGCGTTATCTGTGTAGTATGAGTTGAGAGAGAGAGAGAAAGAGAGAGAGACGTTGACCTCTTACAGTACATTTTTTTGAAAAAAATGCAATATCTTTTAAAACTACCCTCAGGGTCATGCCGCGAACCTCAGCTACCCCCCCCCCCAAGCATATTTTCTCACCCTACGCCCCGGTACGTCCTCAGAAAGGAGGTGTCCTCATTGATGCCCTAGTCGACTGGGGGTCGTCTTCGTTAAGCACGTCGACAAATGGCCTCATTACCTTACAATTATGCATGGTTAAAGCATGCTTGGTACTACGAAATAGTGAATGAATATAAAATTCACCAATTTGTCTCGTTGGTAGTTTTGATATCAAATGTCATTTTTGTTTATCTTAACGGTATTAATGAAATCATGAACACGGAATTCACCACGTTCGCGCAGAAGGATATCGGGTCGATGGTAATTAAAAAAATACCCTAGAAAACGTGTTTGTGGAAAGCATTTTAATAATGAGTAAGAAAACTGTCATTAATTTTGTGTACAATTAATGGATTCTGTTTTTGTTTTTCTTTTGTGAAATAAGCTAAATCAAATTGCCAAAACGTAGTTAGTAAGTCCTTTATATACTAATTGCACGTGCAATTAAGAGTCGACCTTTGTCATTTCCTTTCTTGTTAGTGAAATTATTGAGGACCGGATGCGGAGTATCATTAATAAAATATCTCGTTAAGGGTTACACAGTCGGTGTTTGACACTTACACAACGAAAAATTAGTACCTCTGTAAATTTCGGCAATTTTCCTTGATCACGAAATTCAACTGCATTTTACGTGTTTATCCAAATACGTTGATAAATTAAAATTTACGGTATGTATGAATTCGTTTTTTTGTTTTTTAGTTTTTAATATTGGCTTCACTATCGTAGCGAAACTAGAAAAATGAACATTTTTAGTTTCTGCGAAAAGGGAACGATGTTGTGTTCCTTACACGTTAATATTAAAGAAATCTAAGTTGTGTTGTTTTCTGAAATTAGATTACACACAAAATTATTTCAGCCGTGCTGTTAAGGGATTACTAGAACTTGAATGTGTGTATCAGCTAGCCTACCTGCCGATTTTAGAACATTGGAAAATGCCACTTGGGTAATGAGGGCAGCAGGCTTAACCAGATCGCATCCAGGAATTTATTAAGGAGAAGTTGGTAGGGGCGGATTCAGACATATTTCCTGACGGTGTTCCAAATTATCTTTGTTGATCCATCCTCCATTTTGGACCCACTTCCGACAGAAAAATAGATACCCGTCAGTGTAAACTTGAAAAACTGAAAGTCATCCGGAAGAGCCAGAAGACGGCCTCAATCCGCCCCTGGTAAATCCAAAGAGAGGTTGCCTAATTGCCATTCATCCCATGGTATGTAACGGGAATTTAACATACTCAAATTTTATCACCAGTAAATAATGTGGGACTAAGAGTACGTTTACCTTGTGTGAAAACACCTGATACCTTGGTATTTCTCCATGAGAAATAAAGACATGCCTGAAGCAAAACTATCGTTACCGGTACGTGCGATTTCATGTTTCATTTTATCTAATTCCTAATCTCTCTCTCTCTCTCTCTCTCTCTCTCTCTCTCTCACATACATATTAGATTGACTTCGCTTAGTGCATAAACATTAATCTAAAATTTTTAATTGGTTACCACCCTGGTTACAGCTTTTATGATTTCCATTATGCTCAATGAAGGCCACCCTATTAATTAACTGCTTTCTGAGCATAACTATTGCAAAATCTAGTAAAAAGTCTAGGAGGCAATCATTTTATGTTAAATCGAAGTGGAGTTTTCCTCCAGCTTTATAATCCTTTCAAACAAAGATAGAGAATCCAACAAAGAAGATTCACAAGTCGAGACCGTATACGGTTTCTCAATAAAAAGAGAGTTCTTAATCCAATCACCAATCCTTTCTCTTTATAGTGGATGGAATTAATTAAAGCGCAGACCAGGCTTCTTTAAAGTGGTAGAAAAAAATCTACTATTCCTACAATGAATTGCTTCGAATTAGTCTTGATTTATATAATATGGAAGGGAGTGCGGTAAGTACTCTATTAATTAGCAGGGTCAATTTCACCACCAAAAGACCACTTCGCCCCAAAGTAATTGCAACAATACCACGTGCGGTAGCTACGTAGTCCCAACGCGGGACTTGGAGGCCATTCAGAATGAGAAGAGACGAGTGCTAGCTAGGCCACGACCTAAATATGGCGGACTTACAGGAAAGGAAGACTGCTTAATCCTGCAATGGTCTCTCCGCCTCTCACACGGCTCCCCACGCAGCGTCCCTAGACCGGTTGAATTGAGCCGAGTTTTAATTACTGTGCCTCTGCAGGGACGACGTGTGGGGAGGCGTGTGAGAGGCGGAGAGACCATTACAGGATTAAGCGGTCTTCCTTTCATGTGGGTCCGACATATTTAGGTCGTGGCCTGGCTAGCACTCAGCTCTTCTCATTCTGAATGGCCTCTTACATAGCGTGCTGCACTATACTTCGGTTCCATTTACAGATAACTCTCAGTGGTCTCCAAAAATATATCACCTTTCACCTTTTAATCGATACCAACGACGCCGTAAACAGTGTCGACTCTGTACTCACTGCAACAATAATGAACAATTATTCTGTCCGTTTTGACCACTCACCCCCTTTTTGTTTCATTTGCTAAAACAATAAGCACAAGGGTTTTTTTTCTGAAAAAGTGGACCTTTAAACATGAAACCTTCGTGTATCTAGATAAAATTTAACCTAGAAGGGACCTTTTCCCTGCAAAAGGGGGTCTTTTGACCCTCTCCGACCCTCCCCTCCTCCCTCGCAACAGGCCTGAAGCTTTTGATACAAGTGTCATGAGAACCGCATGGTTGGCAACTCGGTAATGTGTATGCCTATCTCGCATGACTTGCCCCTGGTTTAATCACACCAGATCACTCCCGAGGCACTCGATTCAGCATCAATCGAGATTTAATCCCGCTCGTTCTTTCTTGACCATTCAACCGTTTCTGTCATGTCGCCACCCTTGGGGCCTCGTGCCGTTTCAGTCTGATACGGTTTTCAAAGGCAGGGCGACACGGGATTTCCTACGCGTGGTACAATAACACAATAAGTTGCCAATCTACATCCTTGTTTATATGTATAGTACGTAGGTTACTAGTGAACACATTTCATTAGAGTCAGTTGGCTTTGTCGTTGGTACAGTCAACCGTCCCTGAACGCTTTATTTTGAAAACGTGATCAGGGATAATAAAATACTGTGCCAAGTTGATAGCAGTAACTTCGCGGTTTCATTAAAAATTTAGTCCACAAATAAAGTTATTGAAGAGGACGGGTCTTTAAAGAACGTTCAGCTTTAAGGTGTCCGTCGGGCGATTCGCAACAACAATCACTAGGCGAATGATTGTTTCATTGTGTATTTAGCCGGAAGTGATGGCGTGGGTTATTTCAACAAACGGATTTTTAAATGTCTTTTCCC